GGGTGGTGACCCCTGAGCCCCACAATGGGCAGCCTGCATCTTCTCCCACCCCCCATGGGCTCTGCTGTGCTCCACTCCAGCCATGCTGCCCGCAGGGGGGAGGTGGAGGTAGCCTGGGCTCTGCTTTCTGTTCCAGCTGTAGTAGCCATCACCTGCATACAGCAACTGGGGCTCGGGTGCTGCTGTCTAGCTGCACTTGGCACCTGTGGGATAGGGAGCAGGCAGCAGGCAGCAACCAGGTCTCATAGCCCTGGTATCTGGGGGCCTCCTTCAGCAGGGCTCAAGGGCCAGGGGGCTGCAGGTCATAAGTGAGGGGCCACAGTGGGGATGGGGGACCCCTGGGTCAGGAGTGAGGGGCACCAAGAGGGGTGGAGGGCTGTAGGTGAGTAGTGAGGGGCACCAGCAGTGCCACAGGGCTACAGGTGGAGAGTGAGGGACACCAGCAGGGCTGTGGATCAGGAGTGAGGGGCACCGGTAGGGGTGGGGGGCCTACAGGTTGGAAGTGAGGGGCACCAGTAAATTTGGAGGGGTGGGGGAGCTGTGGTTTGGAATTGAGGGGTACAGGCAGGGACAAAGAGCTACAGGTTAGGAGTGAGGGGCACCAGCAAGGCTGGTGGGGGGGCCATGGCTTGGGAGTGAGGGGAAATAGCGTAGGCATTGGGAAGGGACAGCACTGGCCTATCAGAGCTGCTTTATACCATAAAGCAGATGCAGCTGGACTTGCATCCTGGTGAGTAAAGGAGACAGGGGAAGCTTTGATTTTCCATGATGAAAATTGTTTTATTATCATGATTGGGGCACTGGTAGGCTTCTAAATTGCCTTAATATTGTAAATATATCAATAAAACATTGTGTTCAACCATTACCTGTATATATACTGGTCTTTCATTTTAATCGCAGAAAAACGCAGATTCTGGGTTTTTAAATTGGAGAATGTTGGATTTAAAAAAAATCAGAGAATTTGGGATTTTTTAAACAGAGAAAGCCAGGATCCCTGATTTGATATATACTCTTTTCATTAGTACCATGATACCACTTGCCTGAAACTAGCTGGCCATGGTTATTAAGTCTTTTGGGTTACCCAACTTTGTCTTTCTCAGGAATGCTCCAGAACTGAGAGCAAGTGTTTATATAGTGCCTGGCACAATGGCATCGTGATCCATGACTGGCACTATTTAAGTGTAAATATATAATAATAGTGTAGGCAAAGACCATGACAAAAGCACGTGCTTCAGTAGTTAGAAAAAGTACTGGCAGATTGACTGCAACTCCTTGGCTAACCACTCAGATTCCTAAAGTTGCTGGATTTTTGTTCTTTTTTGGGGGGAGTTTTGGGGGGGGGTGTTGTTTGTTTTTTGTTTTTGCATTACAGCTATTTTTCACCTTTAATACTGAACTGACACAAGCATAGATTTCTGGTTCTCATACACAGTGTCTGGGTAGTAAGCTCAACATATTCCTGAAAATAATTGACTTAAATTTCTCCAGCTTGGGTTGTAGAGGCTTTGTGCTGGCTCTGTTCCTGTTGCTCCTTAATATACTTTTTATCTTCCTACTCCATCTAACCTTGATTAAGAAAGAATTTTGTTTTTAAATAGGGCATTGAGCAATTTTTTGTTTTATTTTTTCATTTCTACTAGGTAAACCTATATCTACTTTCCTTTCCCTAGCATTTTTGGAGTTAAAATTGTAAAAAATAAATAAATCATAAATTAACAATTTAAAGATCCATTCATCAGTACAGCATTGTTCCCTATTACATATATGGATGTAAGTGTGGTCATGATCAATAACTCCATATTCAACATTTCCAGGTTCTTTATTTCTTGTGATCTCTTAAAAATATGAGTATTTCTTGAAGTTGGTTTCAAGGAGGAAAGATAGAGGGAGAACATGCTCTGGATGGGAAAACTTCTGTATCTCATTTTTTTTAAGCACTGATTTTTTTTTAAGCAAAGAGTGAGTCTGAGAACTTTAATTTGGTGGGTCTAAGCACCCAAACATTTAGAAGTACTTGTGTATAAATCCTTGGGTCTGCAAACTGTGGCTGGAAACCTTCTTTTTTTTTTCAAACTGTTGGTGCTGCTAGGTTGCTTGTATTTTGGTTGGTTGCTTGCTTTACTTCCAGAATGGAAATTAATAGTATTAAGAAATATATTTACTGGCAATTTCTTTTCTGGTTGGTGCTAAGATGTGCAGAGGTTTGTGCAGATGGAAGTAGTAGTGGTGATGGTGGTGTGCAGGTTACAAAATAATTCATGTTTTTCTTATAGGTCGGGTTAAAATTTTAGAGAATATTTGTCCTGTAAGAGGTATTTTCTAGTGGAGTCTATTTTAGTGGACCTGGTCAATGTATTGGGAGACCCAGAAACAGTAGTATCTTAAGCCTCTCATTCATATTTGCCTGATTAACTCAAAATTTGCAATGTGTAAAAGAACCATGAGGATAGGCTACAGGATCTGAACCTGTTCAGCCTCCAAAAGAGGAGGCTGAGAGGGGAGCTGTAAACTGTAAACTATAAACTGGCCAAGGGAGACCAGCAGGCAGTGGGAAAGTCCCTGTTCCCCCAAGCACTACTGGGAGTAACAAGGAACAACAGCCGTAAGTTGACAGAGAGCAGATTCAGGCTGGATATCAGGCGGCACTACTTCACAGTCAGGGCGGCTAGGATCTGGAACCAACTTCCAAGGGAAGTGGTCCTCGCTCCTACCCTGGGGGTCTTTAAGAGGAGGCTAGATAGACACCTTGTCGGGGTCGTCTGACCCCAGGACTTTTTCTTGCCTCTGGCAGGGGGTTGGACTTGATGATCTGCTCAGGTCCCTTCCGACCCTACTAACTATGAAACCATAGAAAATATGGATAATTGATTTATTTTTAAACTGAGTTATGGTTGCTATTTCTAGAGTAGTAGTCTATTGTTTACTGAGTTGGTGACCTTATTAAAATACAAGGTGGTTGAAGATATTTTCTGAAATAAATGTTATATATTCTTATTTTCTACATAATATGCTTATATTGTCAAGATCACCATTGGTCATTTCATGGATAAAAGACAGGACAACTGGTGTTCAGTAGGTCTTCTGAGTAGTGCTAATGAAAAACTGGATGAATAAATGCAATTCCTACTTAGGAATACTAGTAGGGTCTTAGGAAAAAGATTTGAAAGAAAGGAGGAAGGCTGCTTTTGGAGGAGAATGGCTACGTTCTGTAAGTTTGTTTTGATAACTAGCCTAACTCTGACATAATACTTACGATTTACGTCAATGAGTAGCTTCATAGAAACTGAGACTTATACCAGAGTAAAGTGTATGAAAAAACTGGAAAAAAAAAGAATTGGGCCCAAAGATCATGGAGGCCAGTTTCTTACTTCACCCAAACTACAGTAGTGAGAACTCTTGTGAAGTTTCATAGTTTCTAGGGTCGGAAGGGACCTGAGCAGGTCATCTAGTCCGCCCCCCTGCCATGGCAGGAAGAGCACTGGGGTCAAATGACCCAAATAAGGTGGTCATCCAACGTCCTCTTAAAAACCCCCAGGGTGGGAGCCTGCACCACCTCACTTGGAAGCTGGTTCCAGACCCTAGCCGCCCTGACCGTGAAGTAGTGCCTCCTGATGTCCAAGTTTGTAATAGGATCTATACTGACAGATGCAACAAATTCATTGCAACTTTTAAAAGAAAGTCTTTTAGTTCATTGATGTATGACAGTAAAGACTGCAATAGTTATTAAGGCAGTAAACTCAGTGCGTCATCCCTTAGTGAGTGTGTTTTCCAGAGGCAAACAAGAGTATTTTGTTGTTTTTTGAACATGTGGTTTTACAGCTTGTGACATCTTTACAGCTTTGTGAAAATGAAATCCATTCCAGAAGTTCCGGATTTTAAAAATGACTGCAGCACAAAGATATATTTTTTTTTCTTTTTGTGGTAAAGTAATTCATTGATTTGGTGAACAACTGTAATAACTTGCAAATTATGTCTGATATGAAGTGTTCCAGCCCGCTGTCTCAACAAATGACACAGGACGAATTATACAATCTTCTATTGAGAGGGAGCCAGAAAAGCCCACCCAGCCTAGAATTCTACCAAAATAAACAGCAGGAATTCTAAATAATAGTTTGAGTTCTCTTGGATAGTTGAGTTTTCTGTTTTTATATTTTCCTGCTTATTAGACAGACTTTCAAATTAACTATTTCTACCCAAAATATGCACGTTTTAAGAACACTTTGAAAATGGTCTAGAAAAGCATCTGATGAAAAAATGTTTGAAGTTTACTTTTTCTGAACACAACATATAAGGGGTGTTTACAATTTAACGAAGAAAACAAGATAATTAAGCGCAAACCAAAACCTACTCCCACTTTACCTTGGCTCCTTCACCTCTCTTCCTTTCAGGTTATTTTGCAGAAGAAGTAACTATTGAGCCACTTGAAAATCTTGCACCCCTATCTATTTTATGCCATACATTTTTAAGGGTCTAATTATCTTGGAAGAGTTGTAATAGCTTTCCTGAGTGGCCTGGAGGTCAAATTCATAGTTACTTGAATTTTTCAAAATTACATTAGACAATTTCCAGAGGGGCAGCAGCAGTTCTGATTTAGATCAGATGGTTGCAGTGCTGACTCTGGAAGAGTGCTAAAAGTGTATTCTTTATGCCTTTTGCCAATGGTTTTGATTGGCCTCCAGGCTTTGAACTTAAGGACCAGTGTTCTGGAATTTCTTGAAATACTATTAGCAATGTCACAAGGGAAGCAGAATATGATCTAAGCAACATTAAATAATATGTTAAAGTAATACCAGAACTTATTTGTGAGTTCTACTTTACAGTATGCACTTAAAAAAAGAATGATAGGTAGAATAAGTTAATTTAAGGCTAATGCTCATAATAATAGTAGAGTAACTAGAAAGGAGGTCTGAACAGAATTAACTATTTTTATATTGTTATTCTTGTTGACATGAGTTGTCCATTTATGTTTGCTGTATCTGAATTTATTTTTTTATTTCTAGGTCTAACAGCAGCTGCCATGGCAGAGGCTATGAAGTTACAGAAGATGAAACTTATGGCAATGAACAGTCTCCATGGAAGTGGAAGTCAAAATGGAACAGAATCAGAGAATGAAGAACTCAATTCTAATGCAGGTAAATAGCATCTTTTGCTAACCCAGAATGGCTCTGTGTCTTCCTGTGTGTGCGGTGAAACGTACAAATGAGAGGATCTCTGGTATTGTCATGCTGTTCCAATTGTAGCTAGTTGTGCATTCCCAAAATCAGTTAAGAATCAAGTACACATTCCCCCAGTCTTACTCCTAACAACACTTCTCACAATTTTTTTCTGAAAAGTTGCCTAATGATTGAGTATTACTTATCTTACCTGAAAAAAATAGACTTTCTAAACTCTTCTCTGCATGCTTATAGTGACAAAAACCTTCTCTCATGCCAAAACATTGAGTGTAGTATTTTTGTGGCAAGTATCAAAAATACATAGGTTTTCTAAGTTGGTATGGGGCACAGGTCATTGCATAGACAGAAAGAAAGAAATGGCAAATTGCCAGTTATTTAGCTTTACACCATATTACTGTATAAATAGAAGAGCTATTTATAACCCAGAGCTATGAAAAAAGGGCAAAGTAGGTGTAAGCTATAGCCTAAATAACTAGAACTATCCTTAAAATGATATAGAAACTCTTATAAGGACCCTTCCAACCCTATGATCCAAACGTATTTCTTAAAATATATTGTTAAACATAATTGCCACAACTTAACAAGCTTTGGCTTCAAGATGACATTTGAGATGGATGCTTTGAAGAAAGGCTTTTTGTTAATTGCAAAGGTCTTGGGAGTGGAAATATCAGAGGGAACAGAGACTAGGATGGATCTATTTTAGACATGGGGAGCTACAGGAACAACACTTCTGTTTCATAATAAGAATACAGTGTCTGCTTGTAGATGGTATGTTATATATATGAATTATTATACCAACAAAGTGGTAGCTTATTAGGAAAATAAGGCAAAAACTGGGAAGCCTAAGACTCATTTTCTAAATAAATAACTTTGAATTCATGAAAAATTATTCATAAAGCAGTGTCTTCTGAAAAGTGGTATTGCCTTTCCGCAACTAGCTAACAGCTAACTGTAGGCTTGTCTATACTGAAGAAACTGAACTTGCCACACATGCAGTAAACGCTTTCCTAATACTTCTGTGTACTTATATAGAACAAGTACTTTTTACTCACCTTTTTTCAGAATAAAATTAATTAGTGTGTACTGAACTATAAGTCTTAATATTTTAAAATTATTTAAAAATGTATGTAAAAATAATATATTTTTAAATTCATGTAACTCCTGTAGAGTTTCCAGAAATTTAACATCTGATTGCATATCTGAGATGTCATAAACATATTCTGCTAAGAGAGAGCATTGAGAACTTGATTGGAAAGAAAAATATATTTAATCTCACCCCAGTTGAAGTCTCCCAAAAGAAAATAAGTGTATGCTTAGTGTTGGAGATTTTTTTAAACTGTTGGGAGTCACCTTTAAAACATTTTAACGTTAAAATGTATTATAGATAATACACCTTATTATTATAGATAATACACCTATATATTATACAACTTAAAATGTATTGTAGATAAGTACATTATATTATTTGGTATTTGCAATATTTTATATGCTTGCAATAGGGATTATTTCAAATCCAGGTAATATTGTTCTGGTTATATAATTTCAAGTTTTATGGGAAATGACCATGCAAGCATTAACCAAAATATTTTCAAAATAGTTTATTTGCGGGGAAGTGACATTCTTTACAACTGATTCAATACTAATTTTTCAACAACGGATTCCCACTTTTTTTTTTTTTTTTTTTCTGGCATTAGATTGGGACTTGGTGCAGATAATACAAGGCTGTTACTTTTTGCGTATATATTTTTCTTTTTTTGGAATTCATGGGATATTCACAATATTGGGGTAGTTCCATAAAGTCCCATTAAATGACAAGACAAGAAACAAAGAAAGCAAAAAACTTACTTATGTCTATTACCTCATTGGGGAGTTATTTGGTGTATACTTTGGGACTTCTGAATTTGCCTTCAGGCTTCGGAATGGATAGGGAAAGAAGGAGCAAGAGAAATAAAAGATAAAGATGCTATAAGTTTTATTTTTCCTGATTTCTATAAAAGATAATTTTGTGTAACACATGGCTTGTCTCTCTCACTAAAAGATTATTGTTAATATGCCTATGTCACACAAAACAAATGGGCATACCTCAAGTCAGAAGTAAATTTTTTAGGATTATTGTAGGAATATAATACCTTCTAGAGGGTACCAAATCAGCAACTGCTCATTTTACTACGCAAGGCAACAGACTACCTGTCACCCTCACTATAATAAGCTCCTAAACTCCCTTAGATGATTGGAATAAGGCCTGAAGAGTTGAAAGAGAGCTGTCATTTAGTTGAAGAGTTAGCATACACTTTACAACATTGATTCACTCATGGGTGCTGTGAAACTATGAAACCACCCCATAATAATTATCTGTGCATGAAAGCTTCACCAAATGTTTGTTTTGAACTAGACTGCTACAGTTTAAATTACTACTAAAAACAAAATGGTAATGCAAAATGAGAAATAAAATTGAATTCTGAAAGATTTTTTACTAACAAAGGGTAAAAAGGAACAAAACAAGTCAAAAGCTACTTAAGTGAAAAAAACATTTTATTTTAGGAGACAGACCTACAGTTTCTTTGATTCGAGGTTGTGTTTAATAGCTTCTGTAATGGCTGCAACATGACTCTGCATTTAGATTTCAGCATGAATAACAACCTGTTCGTGTTTCATTTAGCTCCAAATGAGAAATTCTGTCTTTTATTGTTTTAGGAAATTAGTCTGTGTACTATTGCTCCTGGAACTTTATAATTAATCACTAAAGGTTATGGCTGTGGAGAGTTTGTGGGAAATAGATGCCTGAATGATTATAATTGTAGCTGTCAAATTAGAAATATAGTTATACAGCGGCAGAAGGGTTTTGTTTCCTTTGTGTTTTTTCTAAGCTTTGATTTTTTTTTTTTTTTTTTTTTTTTT